TCCCTATAGTCCACGACCAGCCGGTCTTCGTTAAGCTTTCCGGGTTTCGCAACTCCCCATCCTGGTGACAGGTAGGTGCTAGCAGCCACGGTCTCAATACAGCCTCGTTGCTTGAGTTGCCGCAAGAGGTCAGTAAGGGACTTTTTTAGAGAACACTTAGTTGGGATTGGTCGATATCGCCAGGTGGAGGTGTTACGAAGCGTTGGTCGATGCCAATCCTGTTCTGGGATAATAATAGGTAAGGCTTGTAGCACTTGTTCTTTAAGGTTGTTGTCCCCAAAGGACAGTGAGTTCGTGCCCGGTGCGCTTGTGCCAATAAACACACAGGGGTGAAGGATCCAACTTAATCTTTATTTCTGCGCAGAAAGTGGTGCTTGACAATCGTTCGCGAAGCAAGCACCCACACCCTAGTGGGCGTCTGCCTTATATAGCTACATAACAGGTTAAACTTGCTGATGTGATGACATGTATAGCAAGCCCAGCAAGTAACCCCCCTTCCAGCTCCGGAACTTTGTTGATACAGCTTTTCCTTCTAGCGAGGCCAGCAATCAGCAACTACGCAACAAGCAATCTCCCCCAGCCTAAACAACCTACTCTATGCCCTTGGTTAGATAAAATATTTTTTCAAAACATACAAAGCTGTTCCCTGGTTAAAATGCAGTGAAAGTCCAGGGGTGCTTCATCATTCTCAGCTAGGGTGATGCAGATTGGTGCCCCACAGTGTTAGAAGAGAAAGAAACCCAGAGATTTCAAATTGGAATCCAAAGTGTTAAAAACATTCTGACCTGTTGTAGCCTTTCTGAGCTCCTGGCAAGAGAAAAATGGCTCTATTATTTTTCTGTAGTCATAAAAAATGAGTGAAAACTAAGAGCTGGCGTCTTCCAAAGGATATCTTGAGTCTAACCAGGGGTGATCTGCATCTAAAAAGACTGAGAACCACTGACTTGGTTTCATGTGTTTGAGAAGTGCAGTAGGGCTCAACTTTCTAACTTGACAGTCCTGTCCTTCCTATGGAAGGACTTGGGTCCACCCACCACCTTGGACTTTTCCATTTCTTCCGGGTGGAGGTAGATTGGGTAACAGAGATAAGCACCAATCCTAATCGGTACAAGTTGGATGGGAGTGAAGAGAATAGTGGGAAATGGATTCCTGGAAAGGTCTGGTTCCTAAAGAAAGAGAAGAGAAAAGCGGTCACTGGCAGGAGGAGTCCCGAAAGGGAACTGGCTTGACTTGTTTCTAAAGGAATGTGGAGATGAGAGGCCGTCAGATCAATCCAAACTTAGGAGCAACAAATAGGCAGTGAAGAGGACAGCTTCCAGCATTGAGGCTCTCATAAGCAGCGTCTCAGGAGTGTCCAGGCTTGATATGGTCCTAAGAAAGAAGGATCCTCCATCCTCAAGGCCACACGCCACATTGTCAGTGCAGCCTTGACAGTTGAGTACGGCAGTGATTCTCAAGCAGGATGCCACGGTGCCACAAAATGTTAGCGCTGTTAAGGGGAGACATGATTTGCAACATAAACCTAGGAATCTGGTGTGGCCTTTCTGAGCTCCTTGCAACAAAAGAACTGTTCTAGTATTTTTCTCTACTCAAAAACAGGTGAAGTGTAGGAGCCAGCATCATCCAACAGGGGCCTTGAGGCTGAAGAGGTGGAGAACCACAGGAGCATTGCCTGGCTGAGCACCCAGCAGCATCCTGCAGTTGGATGGGCAGGTCCGACCTCACCTGGACTCTGCCCGCCCCGCTGCAACCAGAGCCTGCCCAGGAGGGGAGAGGAACACATCCAGCATCGCAGGGACGGATCTGGGCTGAGAGCAGGATCTGTCAGCCTACAGCGTCTGCTCCCGGCTGTCCACACGTCCGCTGCCTCCTTCCCCGCGCAGCTGGCTGCCCCTCTCCTGGTGGGCACTCGGCACCGGACAGAAACTGGGCAACACCCCCTTTGCACCTTGTCTCAGGTTGCACTTCTGCTACTGCTGCAGCATGCCGCCTCCTTGCCCTGTGCTCCCTGCTGGTGGCCGTGGGGTCATGGCCCCTTCCATGAGTGGCTGGGTCCTGCCTGTGGCACAGAGACATGACCGATCCTGCATTGGGGGGCCCTGCGCAGGGCTGCAGCGCTGGGGTGTGCGGGGTCCCCCCTGGCCGTGCCCCAGACAAAGGCAAGGGAGCACGTGCTCCCAGGGCCCCTCCCTGAGCGAGGCCTGCCCAGCCCCTGGGTCAAGGGGGTGGGGGAAGGGGCCAGCTGGAATGCCAGGAGTAACAGGTTATAGGGCAAAGGGCACAAGGCAGAGGCCAAGCACCTCGCTCACTGCCACACACCCGAGGACTACGCGCCCCTCGGCTTCCTCGGTGTAGCCGTCTCCACACCGGCCAACCCCAGCGCAGAGAGCCCGCCCACCGCAGCCTCTCAGCCAATTGGTTGCGGGGTGAGTCACCTCCCCGAGACCAGCAGAGCGTGGCACT